TTTGACAAGCAGAGATTTATATTTAGAATAATGCTAAGTGTACACAATTTTTTACACAATCTTTTACACCTCTATCACATGGAAAGGGGTCCACGATTATTTTATTATGTGTGAGCCCCCTTCCATGTGAGAGAGGTGTGTGTAAAAAATTGTGTACACTTAGCATTATTCATCACAGAAACCCTCTTTTCCCTTTGTCCTGCTTGCACAAGCCCTATTTACAGAATCAGAGAGAGATTTAGAAATAAAGCTCCATTTCGTTTTCCCATCTCTCTCTCATTTAAATCTCAGAATTTGTGGTATATTCCTGGCTTCATTGCCTCCCTCTTGATCCAGATTTCTCGTGTAAGCATTTTACTGTATTTTTGATTATTCAACACCCATTATCTTTTTGTTGTTTTTTTTTGTTTCAACGGTGAATAATATTTCATTGGTTTTTGATTTCGTGCAGATTTTCATACCAGAGGATAAAAATGGTGTTCTGGGTTTTTGGCTATGGATCTTTGGTGTGGAACCCTGGATTTGAATATGATGAAAAAATAATTGGCTACATCAAAGACTATAGGAGAGTCTTTGATCTGGGTAAGTTTCTGTTCCTTTGCAGAAATATGTTATGTGATTTCCAATTTTCTCCAAATTTGTTAAATTACATGATAAACCCTTGGTTTTGTATAAGTAAGAATTTGAGTTAAAGATTGAACATTGCTTGTTAGAAGGCTTAGAGTCCGTACATAGACGAACTGTTTCGATTCGAGTGTTCCTTAACTAAAAAGAGAGAAGATCAAGGAGTTGCAAATTAATGTAGTTTTTTTTTCTTTGAACCTTGTTCATATTTTTTCTTTTATTTCTTTCAGCCTGCATTGATCATAGAGGTACTCCTCAGCACCCTGCAAGAACTTGCACCTTGGAGCAATATGATGGAGCCATCTGCGTAAGTGAAAAATGTTATTAATTTGCCATTTTAATTCCTTTTTCTCCCAGTTATGCAAATTTGAAGTTCCTTGTATTAAAGTTTTCGATCTGTATTTCTTTTTTAGTGGGGTGCTGCATATTGCGTGCAAGGAGGGGCTGAAAAGGAAAAGGCGGCAATGGAGGTATGCCTGGGGCATTATTTTGATAATCGAATCACCTTTAGGCTTTTAGCAGGCATTTTCAATTATGCATTGTTTTGAAGCTGGTGTTTGTTTAAACCTTTGTGTTGTAGTATCTGAAACGAAGAGAGTGCGAGTATGACCAGGAGACATTGGTGAACTTTTTCAAGGTCAATTATATTTTCGATATCTTGTTTAGCATACTAGCCTAAGCTATTACTGATTTTTCGAGTACTGAAGTTTCTCCTCTTCAATGCAGGAAGGAGATTCTGAGCAGCCCTTCTTAACTGGAGTGATAGTGTAAGTAGTTTTAATGCTTTCTTCGTTATAGTGTTCGTCTTACTCTTGCAAAATATCGATAAACATGCGTGGGCTATTTTGTCTGAAATTGCTCAAAAGACAGGTTTTTGGCATTGCAGGTTCACGTCAACTCCAGACAAAGTTTTGAACAAGTACTATTTAGGACCTGCCCCTCTGGAGGACATGGCGAGGTATATAAATCCTCGTCACCTCTCTCCTTTCTTCTATTTAATTATGTTTAATTGCATAAAATCCTAATTTCTCGTGTATCTTTCCAGGCAAATTGCGACTGCCTCTGGTCCCAGCGGTAACAACAGAGATTATGTTTTCATGTTGGAGAAAGCCATGTTTGACATTGGTAAGTTTCCTTACTTTCTTGCTTGACTGGAGGAACTCTGTTCAAATTCTCATTTAATATATGAACAACAGGTCATGAAGAAGACTATGTCATAGAGTTGGCAAATGAAGTGAGAAAGGTCCTTGGAATTGAGGGCGGTGTACCAAAGAAGAGAAGTTATTATCTCCTCGTATCCCTCTCAAAACCTACCTGACTTCACCTCTCAAATTGCGACCTCTGCCTGAAGCAGTTGCCATGGATTCTTAGAGAATCTCCTCTCAAGCTAGAAGTTGAGACATTCTTTTTCCTACATGTTTAGTTGACGGACCTCTAACTAGATTAGGGAATCACACGAGTTAAGGAGTTGGGTCGACAAGCTAACGAATGTAATTCAATTTCTCTAATTTGTATCAGATTGCAACATTTTATTTGAATAAAGTGCTGAGTATCTTTTTGGGTTCAATTTATTTTCTTTTACAATTTCTGCAGAACTAAACGTGCTAATGAAAGATATACAGACTTGATCCAACAATTAATGACTTGCCAATAACGTGCTGTACAATTCTCTCTTGGATATATTGAATTTGAATTGGGGATAGATTGAATTTGAGGGGTTTATACATAAAATCGTTCATTTTCATGCGGATAACCGTGTGGTTTCTTTAGTAGCACTTGTGGGAATTGAGATTTGGATTCTTATGTTTCGTAGTTTCTTGATGTACAGTGTCTCTTGTCCACTCTCCCTCTAGAGTAACAACCAACTTTCAAATTTTCCATTTTTTTTTTTCATTTATTCTTTTTCATGCCCTTACAGTTTGTTATTTAACTTGAAATTGCAGTACAACGATTTTTTTGGGTAAATTTCACCTGCACTCATTGAACTTTAATACGAAGAATCACGTCACTGTACTTTAATTTGCAAACAATTAGATCACTCTATTAGCCTCTTGTTCGACCACTTTTTAATTTCAATGTTCTAATTATTTTAAAAATAAACTAATGCATACTAAACAGCTAAATTCATAAACACTATAATTACTTGATAATATTTTCATGTTTTCACAAAAATTAGACAATTTCGAAGTTTTCAAGTAGATAATTTCTACTTAATAGAACTAGAATTGAATAATTAAAAATAAATAAAAATATTTGATATGAACATCTATCTCGTTTACCACACTCGAAAAGCCCCATACATACGGCACGAGATAATTACACACATTCAAGGTGGACTGGGATCAAGTTTTTATTGGATTAGTCTCATGGGTAATGCTGTTTTTTAACATTTCACTACCATCATTGTGAAAATTGTGGAATTGACTAGATTCATCATATCTCAACACGTTAATACATGTACTTGTATCGTCATTATAGTCATGCGCAACATGTTTAGAACCGAGCAGATGTGGAGGTGGGGTGGGTGTTTAACATTGGAGGGAGGGGGGGGGGGGACGGGCCTGGCAGTGCAAATGTGTGATGTGAGGGGAGGAGGGGGGTGGGTGGGTGTTTAACATTGGGGGTGGTCCTCGGGACCCACCTCATGTGAGAGTTTTTGCTAACAGTCCTTTTACAGGTCTAGTAGAGCAGATTAATTCACATGTTTATGATCAGGTGGCAGGGTAGTCGTGATCGATAGGGACATAGGTGGGCAGTGTTGGGTTGTATGCTTATATAGTCTATTTTGTTATGATGAAATAATATTTTATAATAAATAAATTGTGATTTTATTTATTTATTTAATATTGAGCATGATCACAATTAACAAATAAGGGTTGGCACATTGTATTAGAAGCAAAAGGTTGTAATGTAATCGATTCACTATTTGAGTTTGTAATTTGTCCTTGTCGCGAAATAATTAAAGGTGGTACTAATACACTTGAAGTACATAGTGATCATGGTGTCGAGTTTATTCTATAGGATTGTCGTGCGGAAAATTAAATTCCACTTATATATGTATTTTCGTGACTTTAATACTCTTGAATTCACCAATGTGTGAGATCAGTTTAATTGGTCAAATATTTCGGTGAGTTGGGAATTTGAGAACCCAAATTTCTGTAGTGAACCATTTCCCCGAAAATAGTAAAGCGTCTACTTAAGTATTTTTTGTGGAACGATTAAAATTTGAGTTCAGTGTTTAAGGACAATTAAACTTCAACATATGTGATTAGAGTACCGTTGAATAAAATGATATTTGAGTTAGTGAGAATAATTTGAGGAGTAAAATGATTATTTATGCTCATACCTAATTATCAGATCTTGGAAAGTATTTCAAATTTATTGGCTTCTGTAATTTTATATATTCCGAGAGTTCAATCTTTTACATTTAGTGAAAAACAATGATTAATAATTGAATTGTCTAGGATCGACTAGATCTACTTATTGGAACTTGGAAAATATATGTTAGATCATGTTCCTGTGGTGGCTTGGTGGTTCTATAAACTATCAAGACTTAATTACAATTATTGTATAGGTTTTAGGCATAATCACAATTACTATAAAGTTTTGGACTTAATTGTAATAAATTTGAAAGTTATAAACTTATTTATGATTTGTCATTGAGATTTTAAGACAACACATATAATTAAATATAGGCTGATTGGATTTTGATTTATTTGAATTTTAATTAATACTTCTATTTGGACTTATTTGAAATCCTTATCGTACAAACATTATTATCTTTATCCTTAGACACTACACAACAACATAATACAATAATTATCCTTTATAATGTTCAAATTTGAAGAGTTAAAAGGATAGAAAATTATTTTGTCCAATCTAATAATTAATTTTTTGATTAATTAAAAGAAGGCGTCGTAGTCTCGATTTTGAAAAATACTACAGAAAAATTGAAAGTTTGAAACATCAAGTTCTTGAAATTATAAGCTATAAATTCACAATTCAGATTCAATTTAAGAATGAAACATCGGATTTAGGTGAAATTTTGAATAATCAATTCTTAATAGAACATACACAAGAATATCTAGACGATTTTGATTCTTGAATTAAATTTTGGTATATTTCTTATTCTGCTTGCCAACGGCCTACCTCTGAATTTGGCGAAACGCAGTGCAGTAGATCGTTAGTTAAAAACGTACTCGTCGAGCTTTTTTCAGCCTAAAATCGCACGAGAGTCGTTAGTATCTCGAACTTTCTACTTCAGAAAATAAAAGGAACTATAGGTTCTCAAGAGAAGCTTCGCGAGACGCTGCTTTTAACAATTTTTTGTTCTCTGATTAGCTGATTCAGTTGTCTTCGATTTTCTTCATTCATCTCATTCGGATAGGCTGTCAGGTATAATTCTTCTCTCTCTCTCTCTGTAACATATGCATGCGATGCAAATACCAGTCGAAGTATCGCATTTATACTTTTATATATAGCACGCTGTTCGTGATAAAATCTCGTAGATAATGCTGAAAAATGCAATATTTGCTCATTTTGAGGATTTTTTTTTCAAATGGATTGTTTCGTTGGGTAAGACTGAGAATATTGAACGATGTAGTTGATCTCTGAGAAGAGTTGGGCTTTTTAGAGAAGCCTATGAATTTATAAGAAACATTCTGTCTTAGGTTCAAGGAATTGTGCCACCCATTTATCAGAATCGTGCCACAAGTCTGAGATTAGGTGCCAAGGTGGTTCAATACTACCTTATAATTGTGGAAAATAGTTGTCCGTGTCCATCATTTTTGCTGGGGCAGAGATGTGGAAATTGGGATCATGCTGGAATTCAGAAAGTTGGTGCCAAGGTGGTTCAATACTACCTTAAGCTAAAAAATTTGTCGGAGGTGTTGCCATGCCTTTCTATTCGACAAAATGAAGTGGAAACTTTTGAAATTCAGAACTTGTATGTGACAAAATTTGATGTCATTTATAGATGCTTGGATGCCACTTGAGCGAGCAATGTGTTGAACGAATTTCTCTAGCTTGCGTAAGTAAATTTCCAATGTGTTAACTGAAAGCTGCAGTTAATTCCGAATAATTGAAATCAATTAATACGTTAATCAAGTGCTGAATTCTATATTAGCCCTCAATTAACCTAAATGCTTCCTAATTTGGAAGTGATTTCGATCTAAACAATAATTCTTATAATGTAATTTTTATAAAGAAGTTCCACTTACATCATCAATGACTGATTGCTTACCTGTGATATGGATTTAAGAAGCATTTAAACTATTATGGATGATAGGTGAGAGATGTCTGCTTATGAGAATGTTTTCGCCGGAAAGCTGAGGTTGAAAGGCAAAGCTTTGGATGCGAGGACCGGTGGTGTTGGGAAGAAAAAGAAGCACAAAAAGCAATACGACCAAATATCTCATGCTGTAGGCTATGAATTGAAAGGTACAAAGGATCCTTTTGTAATTAATAAATTGACTCTTTTTCTAAACTCTTTCTTCTCCTGGTTTTGTTTCCAAGCTGACGTGTATGTTGTGTGGACTCAATTAGTGAATTCTAATTGAATTTGTCGATGCGGTAATCCTGTGCAATCTTTTGAATCTCTGTTTTCTGTTTCATTTACCATTCTCTCTGTTTCCTGGTTTTCCTCTGTTCATCATGAGAAGCAGCACTGAATATATTCAAGTTGTTTTTCAAGTCTGAATAGAAGGTGAAGCGTATGTTTTTATAACACCATCTTAATGTGTAGGACTTCTTCTGTCTGTCAGATTCCCACTAAGCATCCACTTGTTTATCTAAATTTGCATATCAGGTGGAAATGACGAACAGTCAATGGATCTTATTGGGGTGGATAGCGAAAAAGAAAGAACGCAAAATGATGACCGTCTCACTCCAGCAGAGAGGCGGTATCTCGAGTGCTGGAAAAAAATCGACATCCAAAGACTTGCCAAGGCAGCCAACAAATCACACCGTGACCGTATTCAAGAATTTAACCATTATCTGGCTAATTTAAGTGAACACTATGACATTCCCAAGGTTGGGCCTGGCTAACATTCCTTCCTGCATTGTCGCTGTTCCATTCCTTTACTCCATCTAATGCAGCTCAAATTTTATTTCATTGAACTTGAACATTGTTTCTCTTCATCATGTGGCTGGACGGTCTCAATTTGTCCTCGTGTAATAACAAAAAAACTAAGTCCTTTTTAAGTACTAGTCCGTGGTTATTTTGAAGATAATTTTAGTGTGTTAAATGTGTTGGATCCTCGTGAATTATATCCCGAATTCAATATTTGCTATGACTACATTGGGATGGATTTGTTCTTATCAAACATGCAGAGACTTGCTAAGTTATATCATTCCTGACCAAGCCAGCAAATGAAGAATTCCATTCACGTTTAATGAAAAATAAGATTCATGAAAATATAAATGTAAATAGCTGCAAAAGTCTTAATGAAAATGAAATGCATAATGTTAAATTTTATAAATGAATTGGGATAATTGCATTTTCAATTCTCAAACACACGTCCCAACAAGGTGATAATGAAAGATGTCTAAATAATTTGAGAGAGAAAAAAAATATATGAGAGATGTTTGATCGATTCTCCTTTGGAAGTATCATTAAATTACAATAGAACATTTATCATCAAATCTTTCAAGTATTTATAGGCACTGTTAATTTAAACTCCAGGTAGCACAAAAGGTGTTGGGTTATGGCACGTGTAAATTCAATATCTGGTCGAGATGATGAGGCACCTAAAATGGGGTGACCATTAGGCTGACTTTTAACATCCCAAATGAGAACGTAACCCAATTCGAAGATATTAAACCATATTAAAAAATTGTTCACTAAACTGGAATATACCAAACGAAGAAGAAAACACAAGGATTAATGACAATGTAAGCTATGACGCGCAGAAGGCAATGGTAGATTGATTGCTCTAGCTGGGGGCAAAGGCGAAGGAGAATCATCAGAATAAAACCAGATAGAGGCGTCGAAAATCTACTTAAAGCTATCACAAAAATACACAATTAAACACAAAGGAAATAACGATGAGTAAGCACAAATTTATGCGAAGGAATCTGAAATTTGAACAAGAATGTAAAATATGTAGCGATTGATAATAAAACAAAATACAGATACAACAAAAGTTACGAGAATTGAAGAAGAAGAATCTTGAGGACACAAATGTTAAAAAGCGACTTATAGTTTCAACAGCTTTATTTGGAGAGAATTTTGTTAAAGCCCGAATTGCTTCATTAGCAGAGAAGAACGCCTGGGGAGATAAAAGGTCAGGGTAAGAGAGAGTAAATGACTTCCAATAGTAGTGTAAAAGCCGTGTTCAGTATGGAATTAGTCATTTCTTGCTGAAGACAAAATCTTCATCAATCAAGTGAAGTATGAAAACAAGTCTAAATAAGAATGGAAACAGATATCCCATGAACTGATATTTCCCACTTGAAATATTTATCTCAAGATGCTAGCATAAAATATCAAAATATCCGCACTTTAAATAGAGCTTACTTTTGGAGTAAAACTAAATAATTACATAAATAAAGAATGTTAACCTTAACAGGAGCTTCAGAGCTCATATCATTGGCAAACTGAATGAGAGAAAGTTCCAGCTCCAACTTTACAACTCGGCACTCGGTCGAAATAAGATGTAGAATATTTACATCTGTCTTACACTTGTCCCCTACGAAGAAATAAGCATAAAAATCAACAATCTCCACTCAAATAGCATCATCCTTGAATCAGAATGTAGAAAGTTGTTGCAAGCATGGAGATTAATGATATAACCTATGGACAAAGAAATATGAGATTTTGATAAAGAAATGTTATATGGCAGTAGGAATATGGTTTTACCTTACAAAATGGTTCATTATATTGTTAGCATTGGCTTTAAATAGTGCTTATGATGCTTTTCCTATTATGCTTGTTTCAAATTCTCCAGACATGTCTTAAAGGTGAATGAAAGCATTTTCTGTAGATTGAAGTTGATGACATTAGATGTCGTCGTTTGTTAGAACGAGTTATTGTCTCTAGTGAACACTGGAATCTATATTTAGAGGCGTAAATTAGCTTAGCATTGCTTTTGCAGACGAAATCTACATCACAAGTTTTTATTTTAGCTAAACAGGTGAACTGGATTGTGGAGGCTACTTTTAAAAGGAATGAATTTAAGGAATAATTAAAGAATTATGATACAATAGTATCAGTATACAATCAATATTTGAGATAATATTGCACCACAAGAACCCATTTGAAATGGAAACTGATCATAAGTAATTACTATATCGATCACCTCGAAAAATGGGTCACTTCTAACTTTACATTCTATAACAATTGCCTGATACAATGGCAAAGCAATAGTTAGTTTAGTAATTACTATATGACAATGTAACTGAAAATGAATGATGAATGTGTCTAAAGAGCTACGGAAAATTGAAAAATAAAAAAAGTTGGCATGAGGTTCACTACCACAACTAGTTTTGCCAATAAAATAGTGCGCTGTGACGGCAAGATGAAGGGCTATATGGTGGTGGTGGTTTCCGATGGCTAAGGTGGAGGTTGGGCAGTGTTTCCGGCGAGTGAAAATGGCAGTGGAAGAGAAAGGTCATGATTTTTGATTTTTGTTTTTTGTTTTTTATTTTTTAATTATTTATTTGGGATTTATTTGTATTTTATTGAAAAATTTAATAGTATGGTTGCAATTTATTCTTTATTTTTCTTTTCTTTTTGTTTTAGGAAATGAATGGAAAGATCGAGAGGTTGGATTGNTTTATCAGAGTTAGGCACATTTATGCAATGTTGTGTTCCACCCAATATCGATTTGTTCACAATTTTTTTTCATGATCCACGCATTTCTTGATGTTTCATATTAGAATCCCACATTACTTGAGAAAATATAAATGATCCACTTTATAAGGTGATGGCAATCCTCTCCTAATAAGCCGGTTTTATTAGGTAGAGTTAGACCCAATATTCCTAACAGAAAGGATGGTTTTGTGTTTTAAATATGCGGATATAATTGTCATTTAATTGAGAAAATGGATGAGAATGACAATTTCCACAATGAAACATGGAAATATGGGTGAAAATGCAAAAAATTGAAACGTAGGAACGTTTTGCACACTGAACTCCAAACGTATGGACGTTTTGTGCTAATAACCCCTCGTAGATATTTACCAAATAGTAAAAAAGAGATTATGAACGGTAGTAAACCAATTTAGGTGTGAAATGGAGGCTTCAAGAATGAACAGTAAATCCACTGTCCTTTCTTTACTTTAGTAGCGACTAGATTTTTAGTTGCACTGAAGTATCTAACGCGGGAGGACACAGAGAATGTGTATGCAATCTTTACCATTTTATCCACTTTCAAACATTCTCTTGTAAATTCAAGGGAGATGGGCCTAAAAGTCATTTAAGCAAGTGACTTGAAAAATGGGGGAGAAAAATAAAGTAGAGATTAAATGGGACATAATGACATATGTTATCATTTTAGAACCACCCTTGGTGTAACGGGTCATGGTGACAAACACCCTGACCGGCCCCTCACATCAGGGGGACCCCACATTTTTTTTTCAATTTTTTATACATGTGGGAGCCAGCATCATGTGAGAGTGTGTCAACTTTTTTGTCAAATTTTTTTTGTACAAGTAGCTTTTTTGTAATTTATATATGCAGTGTTGAGTAAATATCGGCTAATCGTCAAATTTACTTTCATAATTAGAACCCACATTTTTTTTTCAATTTTTTATACATGGGGGAGCCAGCATCATGTGAGATTGTGTCAACTTTTTTGTCAAATTTTTTTTGTACAAATAGCTATTTTGATCATTTTAATGGGTGGTCGTAGTTGGAGTATGTAAACCGCTTTACCGAAGCCTATCCCCTTGGATAAACCAGCAAATTTTCTACTTGGGCCTTATCATGTAAAAAAGAAGAAACTCCATGCCAAAATTTTCATTTTTCATGGAATGAGAAGATAGCTTAAAGTGCCTTGAAATGTCTATACAACAAATTTAGTAAGGAGGATTAGATAATGCTAAATAGTTTCATCGTAGAAAAGTTAAAATGTTGTTTATGTACTCTAATATACCAAACTACATCCTCAACAATTTAGTGCTCAAGATGCTTTCATAATAATTTCTTCATCCCTGTCAACTTATGAAAACTCCTAAAGGAAACAGCCATGGCTTCATCTAAGAACGAGCTTAAGAAATAAATACAGAAACCATTAACATACTATTAAAGTTTATAGGTAGTGGGAACAAGATCTAGTCTAGGATAAGTTGAAACTACATAAAAGTACTTCTACTATTACATAGAACTTCTCAGGTAGACGAAAACGCCTTTACATTCCCCTTTGAGCTCTGATTTAAACTGTGTAATGTTGCTGAATTGTGTCAATATCTAATCCTTTCAGCTTCACCACAGATTCCACATGCCCCTTCAGTGTATTCAGTTCCCTAAGCCTGCATCACAAATGAGGATTCGATCATTTTCTCGAACGGATTAAATCCTTTGAAGGATCGATCGATCGTGCAGGATCCTAACGCGAGAACTAATTCTAGGCACAAGTGTTTTAAGGAATTGATAAGCCATAAGCAGAAAACTGACCTAGCAACCTCAGCACGTCGTTTGGCCTGCTCTGCAATTTCAGAGAGCTCCCGATAACCGCTCTTTTCATTGAAAAGGTTATTCGTTTCCCGTGGTTGAAGACCGTGTAAAGTCCTTTGTGCGGTAGCCCATTGTGCCTCTCTCTCTTCTTTCCCATAGTTAGACTTTGTAGTGAAAGCAGTCTGTTACCAAAGATCGAGGAAAGAAGTAAGGATCGAGCAATGCAATTGCTTAAACAACTTAATAAACACTTTAAGACAACATACTTTATTCTCCAAAAGATTATCCCAAGCCTTTCCGCTCAAAACATAACGAATGCAGAACTTGAGGATGTCAAGTGGAACATAGGTTACGATACTGTAAAGCCAGATGAGACCGGCCCAACCCCAACCGCATCCTTCGATCTTTGCAAAATTCCAGTTCGCATAAACAGCTATTAGGGTAGCAACCTGTAATTTCAGTTTAATAAATGTAATTTCACCGAAGTCCAAAGTTAGTCGAAGGATGAAGTTTTGTGAAAGATTCTTGAAAAGGAAGAGTTCCTTACCAGTTGAGCTATTATAAAAGCACCGATCAAGAACATTCCAGGGCGTTCAGCAAAGGACCAGCTACGAGACCTTGTAACAAATATTAGTGCTTGACTAATAATACTCACTTGTAGGTATAAAGCTGCCATTATTTCCCGAGGATTATCTCTAATGGATCTTACACCAAAGTGATCCTGCAGTGAACCAGATAAAGATCAAGCAATGAATAAACAAGTCGTGATGTATAAATTTGCTGATCCTAAATAAAAAATATATATATATATTTACGTCCCTACCGAGAAGAAGTTAGTATCATTCATGACCCAGAAAAACAATACTGTCGCTAGTGCCAAGTAACCTCCCAAGACGACTCCAGTGGCGAAAATCTCTCTGAGTTTCCAACTGTCTGGTAAAGGAGAGGGCTTCACTCGATCCTTCGAGATTGTCATTATAGTTCCTAGAGTTAAATGAAATGTGTAAATTATGCAGACTTCTTGAGGGAAATTGAGAAAAGGATGGGCATAACGAGTAGAGACATCTTTTGTTTAAAAGACGAACATAAAAATGGTGATGTCCATATTGATTTATTTACATTTATCGATATAGATGACCTTACCATCATTTAGGATAGCAATGATTAGAACCATGAAGGGGGCAAAATCGAATTCCCATATCAGAGCAATAAGCATAAATCCAAACTGCATTAGGCATATGGATAAGAAACAAATCGATCAACTTCTTAGTTAAAGCAGGACAATTGAACGGTTCCTGATGCTTACCACAATACGAATTGTAATCGAAACTGCATATATCTGGAAAAAAAAAATAATCAAACAAAAGAAAAATCAGATACTTTCAAGGTAAAGAGGCTAAAACTTGGATTTATAAAAGAAAAGCGGACTCACGGTGTAATTCTTCATTCTCTGGAAAATTGCCCTGCTAGTCAGTACTGCACTAATTATGACACTAAGTCCCGGTTCAGTTAAAACAATGTCAGATGCACCTCTAGCAGCATCTGTTGCATCAGCAACTGCAATGCCGATATCTGCCTTCTTTAGAGCCGGAGCATCATTAACACCATCTCCCGTCATACCACATATGTGCTTTCTTTCTTGTAACCTTTTTACTATTTCATACTTGTGCTCTACAAATACACATGAATGATTTCAGGCTGTATAACAAAAGGAGTCGAGCACTAATGTCACATTTTCACTCCCATCCTAGGCTCCTAGCCGAGAACATAGTAAAAGAAAATTTACCTGGAAATACTCCAGCAAACCCATCAGCCTTCTCAATCAGCTCGTCTACAGGAAGTGCTGCAATAGATTCATCCTTGTCTTGGCCAAGCAACGATGATGACGGATACATGTTTGTCCCCATTCCAAGCCTGCGGCCTGTCTCCTTGGCTATGGCTAGTTGGTCACCTAAACAACGATGAAAAGTGTTTAAAAAAAGGCAACTATAATAGCCATTGAACATGAAGGGCTTGAGGCGACTAAGATGTAAAATCCATTACCAGTGATCATCTTTACATTCACGCCCAGATTCAATGCTCTTCTGATTGTTTCCGCACTGTCATGCCTTGGTGGATCAAACAATGGTAATAAACCAACAAGCTGCCATGGTCCCCCTGGACTCTCTTTGGTCTTCTCAGGGACTTCCTGCAAAAAAATAAAAGAGAGAGAGAGAGAGAGAGAGAGAGACAAAATGAGAATAAAATAGCAGATGAAATTAGCTCAAGAGAATTCATTGAAGTAATATATGCAAACCTGACGGGCAATTGCTAAAGAACGAAGTCCACGTTCAGCAAACTTATCGATTACAGAATGAACCTTCTTTTTAACATCTTCCTTGGAGTTGCACAATGCTAGGATCTATTCATGAGCAACGAAGTTTACATCTATCAGTTAACTAGTTTAATTCTTCCCCTTTTCCATCAAAATATAAAGATGAATACATACAACAGATTGCAAGCTATAATTCTGGAGTATGAAAAACCAGAAATACCTGCTCGGGGGCACCTTTACTGGCACGATGCCAATTTCCATTAGAATCTATGTAGGTTAATGCAGTCCTCTTATCCACAGGGTTGAAAGGAAAGAAATGAACCTCCCGGATACCAGCTCTAGCCTGTGAAAAGAAATTAAAGAAAATAAGGAAAAAATTCGAACTTTATCCGACATTTGCTGAAGTACAAATATGAAATACATGTATAATGACAATCATATAATATAAATCAACAAATAAGCCAAGAAAGAACTTGTTATCTACTATTAATGCTATATACCTCTTTCGGATCGGCAAGCATCCCTACAATGGCAGCATCTATTGCATCTTGATTTTCAACTCTGGAGGCTCGGGCTGCTAGCAACATCACATGTTCTCTATCTACTCCCTTCACAAACACTTCAATGAGACTGTTATCAACTGTCAGCTTATTCAAGGTTAACGTTCCCGTTTTGTCACTACAGAGAACATCCATGCCTGCCATTTCCTCTATGGCAGTCATTCGCTTTGTGATTGCACCCTGCTGAGAAAGCCTGTGAGAACCAATAGCCATAGTAACAGATAACACAGTCGGCATAGCAATTGGAATTCCTCCAATTAAGAGAACCAGCAAATTGTCAATTCCATCCCTGTACTTCCGATGCTGTATTGGGTACATGACTATGACCTCGATGATTATTCCAACAAAAATCGAGCAGATGCAAAAGTTACCGATTGCAGTGAGGACCTTCTGAAAATGTCCAACTTGGTTGGTGCTATCAACTAGATGGGCAGCCTTACCGAAAAATGTATGAACACCAGTAGCTATAACAACTGCTTCGATTTCTCCCTGTTTACAAGTCGAGCCGGAAAAAACTTCATCTGAGGGGTTCTTAGTGACAGGAAGAGATTCTCCTGTTAAAGCCGATTGATCAACTTTTAAGGGATCGCCCTCAAGAAGACGAGCATCAGCAGGGATGATATCTCCCAACTTGATGCTTATGATATCTCCCGGTACAAGGATAGCCGCATCCTTCTCAGTCCATCGTCCATCTCTAAGAAGCTGCATTCCATTTTCACAATTAAAAGGAAATTAGGGAAGTTATAAGAATCATGTACATATAGATCTTGGAATCATAAATTAGTCACCAACCTTAGTTTTTGGAGCGAGACCAGCCATTAGAGCTGCTGCAGCATTACCTGCATTGTTTTCTTCGATGAAACTGATGGTCGAGTTGATAAACAACAATGCAACAATGCCAACAAAATCCTGCCAGTCAGGAGGCCTCCCGTCTCCATTTGCTAGAACGATAGCCATCAAAGCAGCAGCTTCCATGACCCAAGACAAAGGGTTCCACATAAAGCCTAAAAACTTGAGAATCTTGCTCTCCTGTTATTAAAATTTTGAATTGTGATGTTTCAAATTCATTTAGAAAATATACAAGAAATTTTGAGTCAAATTTTAAACCTTTTTTTCTTCCAATTTGTTCGGACCAAAAATTCTGAGCCTGCTCTCCCCTTCCACTGACGACAGACCTTCTCTTGTACATTTTAGCTGCTCAAATACTTCCTCCACCGGAATTCGTTCCTATACATGTAAACTCATTATTGACAATGAAATTGTGAAGGGGAAAAAAAACTTTGCACTAGTATTTGCAGTGGGAAGACTTGTCATAAACAAAATGACAAAATAGCAGCTCGATTTGAGAATCTGGCGCTTCAACTACAAAAAATAATTCAAGCAATTGTTTTTCAATCTCTACCCATTCTCGCCTTGACTTCCTTTTAAACGCGAACTAGTATGTTACAATGAGTAATAGGAATGCTACCCTGCACGCTACTTGCAAGTTAGAGTCTGAATGCCAAATTGCAAGAAGCTTGTATACATGTAAAGGGCGGTGACACATTATCATCTGGCTTACATATTATATCGTTTCTATCTTATTTTCATATTCATTCTCGTGCAACAAATCAACCAAAAATAAAAGAAATTGTCCTATAATTTTTTGATTCCATGAAAAAACTGATCAAATAAATGCCAAAAAATTTTCCTCCTAATCAGTGTTCAAAAGTCCGAATGCACATCACAGTAGTCCAACTTATTTTGTAATACTAAAGTTGTTTGAAACTTACTCAACTTCCTTAAGTTACTTTACTTACTTATGTCAACGTATCTAAATATTTCAGAAGTCACTTTTTATTGGATTTTCCATAAAATTTTACATTTTTTTAGTGTCAATAAATAGAGTCTACCTTATTTAAAGCTTGACCAAGCAAAAAGTGATAATATGATATACATCTCAGAGGCATTTAGCCCCCGTTTGGTGCAGATTAAAATTAAATTTTTAATAGATTTTGTTAAAAGTAGATGAGATGTGTGGTTGGAAAGTTGTAAATTTCATAAAATGTATGGATAAAATTAGTTGTTGACTTTGACTTACATTAAAATCTGATTTTTAATTGCTAACAAACAGGGGCTAGCAAAAGGCAAATATAGATTTCTGTAATTTACTCATACTATCGCAAGCATTAGATAGCAAGATTCAATTGAGACGATACCAATTCGAAATATGTTAAAATAAACAAGAAATTGTTTTGTGGAAAATAGATAGAAGTCATAAAAACAACCGTAATCACATAATAGTTGCAAAATAGACTTTTTCTTTCTCTGTGGACCAAAAAGTAATAAATGATCATGTGATTTTAAAGATAGTAAAAAAAAAAAAAAACACTTGCTACTTGTACATCAAAATAGTACATAAACGATCCACTCGACCTTTATCTATTCTTAAAAGAAGTGAAAATATGCCACGTGACAGATGCGTGCTCTCACCCTGTCCTAAATATTTGCTAAGGATTTAAGCAGAATAAAGGACAACAAACAAGAAGTATAACGCCCCGTTTGGGGTTGCTATTAAAGATGAAAATTCACTCGCCCCGCAAAAACTCTTGGTTTTTAAAGTTAACGAAAATTCTTGAAATTAGATAAAGATTTCATTTTTACAGTTTGATAATAATTCACAAAAAAGGGGTCCACGAAGATGTTATTTGAGCGAAATACTTAAAAAGCATCCGAGATTTTGGGATCCAAACTAACAAATAGAAACGGATAAACGTAAAAGGAAGCATGAACACGCACGATAGCACTCAAAGTTACGTCTATAGATGTGCGTGCATCTACAGAAACTACGGAAACATAATATGAGCATGCATGTGTAGTAGATAAAGTATGCTGGTGCGCTCGAACACCACAAAAGGTTTATACCAGTCGATTTTCAGATGAGATAGTTGAAACTCGACCGAGTGTATGTATATAACAATATAAAGATACATACCAGATCAACAGCTTCATTCTTGATTTCTTCAAGGCTGATAGCCTTAGTGCTACCCATCTTGAATGGCAGCAAATGAAAACAGAGATGGAGAGAAACACAATCTGTTTAAAGGATTTGAAGAAAAACCCTACTCAAAACTCATTCATTTATATCTAAAGAAAAGGAAAAAGGGTCGAGGAAGAGAAAAAATTTGGTGTGAAAATGAGAAAATTTATGATGGAAGAGAGATGTATTAATGAATGAGCTTGCGAGTTTGAGACTTTTGGTGTGTCCATATAAATCTGGAGGAAGAAAGAAGAAAGAACCATTTATGTTCGAGGGAGTGGGGTGGGGTAGGGTAGGGTGGGGTGGAATTGGATGTTTTGTACACGAATATTAGATACACGTACACAGCCTTTGTGGGTGGAAAATTGGAAGGCCTTTGTGGGGTCAATTTTTTGCAATTTTGGGTGGAAAATTAGATACAGAGTCTCATTTCATTAAAAATAAATTTTATTTTTTTGTCAGTTTATTACATCTCATTAAACTTAGTAATATTGGTAGATAATAATATAAATAAATAAATATGAAATTAATTTGTCAAATTAAACTTTTTGTAAATTGTTTACTTAAAATTCGTTATAAATCTTAAATTATTGGTATGAAGAAAACTTTATCGCACTCGAAAGATTTATAAAAGTTAAATTGTTTTAAAAAAATATTTATTCAAAATTTAATTAAATATAAAAGTTTTTATAGCTCAATATAATACCATTTAAGGCACCGCCATTCTTTTTTTCATTCTCATTCTTCTACTAATTTTCAACCACACATTCATCAATAAAATAATATTTTCCATCACATCAATAACTTTTCCTTCATTTTCAACCACAAAAAAGGTGTGATTTGACACAAAGAATACATTTTTTTCTAGAATAATGGTTACCAAACGNCTAAAATAATGGTTACCAAACGATGCCTAAATCTTCAATTCCGTGTAAGAAAAATATGTGAGAATGTGAAGGTAACAAAAAATTATTTAAATGGAAAAAAGTGGATGAGCAAAGGGTATTTTAAACCCTTTTACCAATTTCAGTTCCACATTAAGGCTACCTTTAATAGCCCCTTTTTCCATGGAAAATGGAGATTGATAGCTCCTTTTTTCCATGGAAAATGGAAAACAAAATTGTTCATGAAAATAATTGTTTGATGGGTTTTGTTTGCCATGAAAAACTAATTCCATCCACCCCCACACGTGCACCAATTGAAGGAAATTAAGGAAACCATTTTCTCCAGGTTAATTTTCTATTTAATGGACAATTTTCATAAAAAAACAAAGCCAAACGAACACAAAAATATCCAAAATTTAAATATTTTTCACGTGAAAAATTATACCAATTAAACTAGAAAAAATAAATTAGTCAATTAGTAATTAGAATTAATCTCGTCGAAATAAATTTATTTTGAGTTGACAAATTTTGTGATTGGCAAGATTAAGTTGACGTTTTGAAATATACTATTTTTTTCTTGAAGTTCATCTCTCTTCTTCCGATACGTCAAGTCTCTTAATAAGTCATTGCTTCAAAGCACCACAACTCCTTACCTTCAATATTTCTTTCTCAAATTGATTCTAAAGTCATTGCATGATAGCATTATTAGGAAACATTAGGGGTGTCCCAAAGTCCCGAATCGAGCGATTCTTCATAAGTTAAATATCTGAATGGGTACTCGAATTGAGAACCGATGGGTTTGGGTTTGGATCGAAACCAAATAAATTTTTTTATTTTTTATATTGAATTAATTAAATTATTTTTTTTTCTAAACAAATTAGCAAATTAATTAAATAAATCAGATTATTTCATAATTTTAATTTTAAAGCCCAAATCATTTTTGGGTCGGTTCGGTTCTCTTCATAATCGAATCGAACCGACCCACGGACAGCCCTATGAAACATTCTAGAAATCATTTGTCGATAATCATCGATAAATAGTCTGTATCAAAACTTGCTAAGTTGTTTGCACATGTACGACCACTTTATAAATGGGGGCTGATTTGATCAAAACCAATTTTTGATGAATTTTTTTTGATCTAAACACCATTGAGGTGTATTCAACAAGAAGTTCGAGCTCAAGCAACTAAGTGTTACGGATACTATTCTACGAACCCAGAGTAGCCACGATATGGAGTAAGAGATAAAGATGAAACATACCATCTGATATTTACTTAATAATATGAGTCTTAATTAATTTACTTGATAATATGAGTCAATTAATTTTTATGAGATTAACTTACCATTTGATATTTACTCGATATTGAACTCTATTATTTATTATGATAGATCATCTTTCACTATTTATTTTTTATATTTTTTTTCCTTAACTAACTTGGGTTTTCACACCGTGTAGAAGTAGTGAAAGACTTGAATACTAACTACGAGCAAGAAGTACACGAAACCGTAAAACAAGTTCTTTTGGCTTGTGAACACACAAATGGTCAAATATTATCGATAATATTACTACAAAAATAACTCAATTTTGATACTTACAACTTGGAATAGTCAATAATTTCTCACAAAATGATTTTGACCAATAAAAGTTGGAAGAGCATCTCAATGAACACTTGCTTGATAAAAGGTGTACTTGTAAGGTATATTCTTGGGAAGGGAACAAAATTGATGGTTGGTAAGGAAAGATCAAACACTAGGTGAACTAGAATCAATGCCACATAAAAGACCCCTAAAACTTTTGAATTTGTTATGTACACGGCTTTTACTTTGATTTATTTGAGATGGGAATGATAAGATTAGAAAGGGGAGTTGGGCAATTTTAATAATAGTCAAAAAATTTGAATATTATAACACAAAAAGGATATCAATGGGAGTATGTAGTTTTAAATATTGAAGAATTTGAGCTACCAAATTTTGTGGAGTATAAGAGGAAGTAATGGCATTGACATAAATCACTCGAGCACAAGAGTTTTAGAATATCTAATGAAAAAAACGTAATGAAAATTGGATGAGAGCAGAAGCTAAATAGTTGTCTTTAGAATAGATTGTGAAAGGAAGTCATGAAGTGAGAAGAACGCGAAGGAATGTTTAAATCTCAATCCTTACGATTTATGTGCAAGCGATCTTAGCATTTCGTGTTACTTAACCTAACATTAATATGAATAATTTTACTCACAACTTGACTAGGAAACATGATGCTAATATTCTCTTTTTCATTATTTAAATTATCAATGCTTGTGAATTATCGTTCATGTGAAATCGTACTTTTAGGACTCTTCCTCGACCAACCTCTTGCTATACTTGATGGACTATATCTTTTTAGGATAGCATAAAAGATCAATTTTTCACAAGACATGATCTCTTCATGAGAGGCATGGGTTACTCTTTTTTGATAGTAAGCTTTGATTCACTTTTAATGAATTAACATGTGACTTTAGCCTCCACCTCCATACAATAACATGTGAATATGTGAATGCTTTTCTCTTCATTATGGTACTTTTTCAAGTATTGCAAAAATAATAAAAATAAAAAAGGTTGAAAATTAGACAATGAAAATGGGTCATCTCTACGAAAAGATTATTAATTATTACTCAATTTAAAAACGCGTTTGAAGAATACGAACTCATGGAATCTAAATCGAATAGTATTTTCTCTTATGAACAAATTCAAGTTTGAATGTTATACTCCTATTTATGATTAAACCGAGATAAATTGAAAGGGGAATTTGGCCATCAACTTTTTTGAAACCTAGCATGTGTAGTCATTTTAGTGTGTGTATGTGTTAGGGAGAGTGGACTTTGCAAAAAGCATTGGTTTATATCTAATGGGAGGCCATATGGGTAGGAATTGTCATATTCCTATAGGACCCTGTCCTCTTCCATTTTTTTGTTACAATCTTGTAGGAAAAGGACCAATGGGTGGCCATAAGGAATATATGCCATGGACCGTATCACTTGATATTTACATCAGTGGATGGTTGTCCTAGGAGTATTTTCTTTTGTTTGCGCGAATTGAAAATCGAGAGTTTGTTTGGTACGTTATTCCAAAATGAATATATGCATTTTTTGATTGAGAGTTGACGTCTAAGGTGATAAGACATGCACATCATTGGAAGCATGTTATTGAAGCTTTTTTCTTCTTTTTTTCCCTATTTAATTAAAGGAAATTCCACGAGACGCTACTATTTACCAAAAAGAAATTATTAGGATCAAATATGGTGAAAATTAGAGGTGGCAATGGACCGAGCCGGCTACGCACACGAGCTCGGCTCGTTACTCGTTGTCCAAGCTCGGGAATTAACCCTCAAACATCGTATCTCAGTAACTAATGGGCCGAGCTCGGCTTTTAATTTTGCAAGCGTCATTTACGCGGTGATGAATGGTGTACCAACCTTCAAACTTCGGTGATTAATGGGACAATTTTCAAATTCAGTGACTCCTAGAAACTTTACGAAATGTTCAGCAACCATTTAGGAAATTAACCCTCAAACATCGTATCTCAGCTTTTCGTGAGTCGATCATTATGAAGTTTGGACAGCAGGTTCATGACACAGTTTCTTTAAATTGGAGGGTTATGGTCAAGATCCAACAATTCATCTGAAAGAAATCGCTATATGAAAAATAACAAATTTTGTTGATATTTATCCATTGTTGTTTTTTAAGTATTCCAATAATAGTTATTCTTGAGATAATTATGATAGATAAGATAGCTGGTGGTGTTACTTTTGAGGGATTCTGTCGATGGATAGGAATATTTTTTTGGTGTCAAGAATGGTTGAATTATTGACTATGGTGGTGCGTCTGAAGACATCTTCAGGAAAATCTATTTTAACTTTTTAAAATAGAGCGTGAGTTTCACTATTTAAATTTATAGAGTTAAATCCATTTTCTATTTTTAATGAATAATGATTGCGTTTAATAAATCAACATTTCAATACCCTATTCTTAAACTATTCAAGCTATATATTTAAATTGATTGTCAATTAACATATGAAAAATTATGTTAAATAAAATATGAGTAGAAATTAATAAATATTTATTGTGAAAATCAAAACGAAGAACCGAAATAAAGAGCATTGTTGGAGTGCATAAAAATTTTGACTCTTTAAATTTAAAAATACTCTCTATAATGCATAAAATGTTCCTTATAAATAAAGAGTCATTTGAAGATAATCCCATATTGACTGTAGAGACTCTGTGAGATTCTATCTTCGAGGTGATGAGATGTTATTAGCGTGCCAAGACTTGCATTATTTAGGTTCATCGTATCTCTAGTATTTGACCAAAGAAAACATTTTAAATTTCCATCTTTATTAGATGATAGTTCATTGTTGGTGTCAAGAAATGTGTTTTTACTTAGTTTTGGTTACCTCTAATGTAATTTAGGGAGAGAATATTGAATTTTCATTATTATTATACTGAGATTTTCAAAATTGGGCTCGTAGATGTAGACACAACGTCGAGTTACGTTAAATATTGTGTTGATTAATGTGAAATTCGTGTTCATTTTTAACCGCACATCTTAAACTCTAAACAGGTCATAAGCATTCGATTTTGTCAAATCCTCAATTAAAATTGAAGGTGGAGAAGTCAAACGTGTAACTCGAGTCAACTCCAAAAATCAAAATTGAAGCATACAAAGTTGATCAGACACGGTAATAAAGCACGAGAAATAGCATGCGACATCTGGTTGACTAAAACCAAACGAGAAAATATGGCCAAAAGAATTGAAAAATAATTCCTCCCTCGCAGCCTACCGTCAAATTTCAACCATTTTGTAATTAGCATACAGAACCCATCATCTCAACTTCACTTTCAGAAGCTCTAGTTAATCAGGTTCTATCTTGTCTTCCCGCATAAACATATATGAATGATTTCTGGGTGATGTCTCTAATGATTCTGTTCACTTTGAGTAACTGTGAATTCGATGGTTGATTTTGATGATTGATGTCATATAAGGTTTTAGTGCAATTTTTTTTATTATTATCTATTTGGCCAATTGGTTTTATCTACTTTTAAGACTGTGTTTAGGGCTTTTTTCTCATGGAAAATCGTTCATCTTTTTTAATTATTTAAGCCCGTTTTGAATTTTCTGGTTATTGCTATCATTTATTGTGAATCGTAAAGAAACAAGAACCCTTTAATGGGATACACTTTTTATAAGAAAAATCAAAACTACAGTTGGCGCGTTTTACTGATAATGAAAATAATAGCAGAAAACAACTTAGATGGGGATAGACTTAACCTTCAGCAAATGAAAAGTAAAAAGGGGCAAAAAGAATTATATGGAAATATGATGTTTAGTGAAGCAACAAAAAATGAACTGATAATTGAAAACGGGAAAAAGAAATAAATGAAATTGTAATTTGTATATATATGGGTGTGTAGAAATGCTTAATATTTCTCCTGAATTTTGCATTTTGGTTGTCCAGGAGCTAAATTTGTATCCTTTACTAGGATTCATACATTTTTTGAGGATTTTTATTTGATTGAATTATTCGAAGGGAAATAGCCGAAAGAGATTCTTATAGAACGAATAAAGAAAAAGGAAAAAAAAAAAGAAGAAGTTAAAATAAGAACCGAAAAAAATAACCATGTAACTTCCACTTCACAGTTTGTAGGCGCCTGATGGTGAATTTGGTTTATGCAAATTGCATCTAGATCTTGTTTGGCCGTCTGACATTGATTTTTGACCCAGAAAGGGAAAGATTCGTGCTCCATGGTTGTGGAAGCTTGATGATTTAGTCTCTTCACGCACTTACAAACTTTTGGTGGTAGAGGGCTCTAGACAAAACACGGATAAATGGAGGAGATTCAATTTTATACCAACTTGGATGACGTCATTTGTCCCATATGCCTGGACTTTCCGCATAACGGTGTTCTCCTTCAATGCACATCTCATGGAAAAGGATGTCAGCCTTTTGTATGTGACACGGACCATTTGCACTCAAACTGTCTTGACCGTTTCAAACAAGCAAATAGAATGTTAGCTGCTTCTAAATCACCGAGTTCTGCTGAGAACTTAAATGTCTTGGATTCAGGATCCAACAGTAAACCAGCTTGTCCCTTATGTAGAGGAGAAGTTACAGGATGGGTTGTTGTTGACAAGGCTCGTATACATTTGGACGAGAAGAAACGTTGTTGTGAAGAGTACAAATGTTCATTCATCGGAACCTACTTGGAACTTAAACAACATGCGCAATTAGAGCATCCTCATGCACGGCCTTCACAAATTGATCCTGCACGACAGCTTGATTGGGAAAATTTCCAGCAATCTTCCGAGATCATAGACGTTTTAAGCACTATCCATTCACAAGTCCCACGAGGTGTTGTTTTGGGTGATTATGTGATAGAATATGGGGATAACTCTGATGACGAATTTGATGACTTCCCTGGGGATGAAGGAAAGTGGTGGACGTCTTGCATACTATATCATGTATTTGAAAAATTTAGAACATCCAGGAACAGAAGAAAGTCAAGAATGAGGGATTCCAGAAGAGGAAGTCGCCGTCTGAGTTATGACACTTCTAACTCTGAAGAGGGTTCTGTATCATCTGTAGAACATGCAGAGTATAGAGCGGATGAGACTGATGATGAGTTTGTGACAAGTGAATTCTCAAGGCAGACAGCTGGCCATCACATGTGAGTTACTGTGTGCATGCAACTGAGGTTTCCTTTCACTGGTGATGCATTGTTCAATTATTCTTGTAGATCCATGATTTGTAATTTTTTGATGTGATTTTCTTCGTTCACTGTATCTATATAAATTATAATACCACCCAAGAAATGAAAATGCAAATTAGATTCTCAAATGTATAAATAACTAAATTAGAAAATCAAACAAAAATAATTGCAGGTTTTTACAAATATCTCAACATTGGTGGTTTTGGGGCTGGTGATGTATCCTTATACATATGATATAATATTGCCATATATAATTTTGCTTCTGTTTTTTACTATATACCGAAGTGCTATAGCAATTGACATATGACATAGATATTATGTTCTCAACATAGTCCTGTAGCACTGGTATCTGAAAACACATCTAGTTATGTGTCTCTCTCCTTAGTTTTGGCATTTAAGATATAAATGCTTGATTCAGCAATTACTCTTAGATGTATTGGTGTGTTTATATATGACATAAGACCATCTACATTCCAGACCTGGTGGCAGCAGAGCTGGGATCAGTATTTGAGTGAAATATTACTGGGTTGATGTACATGTTTAAAAAAGTCGTAACCTTTTCCTACTATCCCAAAATTGGCGGTTCTGAGGGCTGCCAAAACATCCTTATATATGATATAATATTGCCGATATTCTCTTTATTCGCAAATACTGAATTGATTGGTAAAACAGAAATTATATTGTCAAGATTTTCCTGTTGTGCCTAGATCTTAAAACAGGTCTAACTACGTATATGCACACATACATACCACCAACGTCCTAAAACTGCGGGCAGCAAGAATGCAGCTAGTATTTGAGTGAAATATTCTTTGCTGTTGTACATGTTAAAGTTTGTTTCTATTTTTGCCTGCTATGAATTTGCAAAAAGGTTAGATCTTCATTATGTTTATATTTTTGTGTATTTCTATTATACTATTGTAATGCTTTTTGGCTTGACAGTCATTAAAACTTTATAAAACTGTTAAAAATATGAAAATATTCCTGTGATCTTGGTGATTATCATATTTTCGAGATCTTGCTTGACTAAAGACAAGGATTTCTAGCTTGAGAAACGCTCCCCAAGAACAGATTAAGTGACTTGGCTGTCTTATCTGGCTCCGATTTTGTGTAGCCTCAATTACTAATTTTGAATTTGAGAAAAATAAAATTAATCTCATTCAAATTTCACACTGAGCTGAGTTCTTTTCTTAAGTTGCAAATTACCTAAATATCGTGAAAAACATAATTTTTTTTGTATTGACGCGAGGTTGATTTATGGGAAAAATCAACAGAATATATGATTGTTTAAGAAAATCATTACTTTTTACTATTTTGATTATTGCAGTCCCTTGCATTTTCTTTTGATTTCCACTGCTGTATTTTTTGCATTGTAGTTCTCGAAGGCGCCGTTCCCGCTTCCATGACAATTAAGGTAAGCCATGTCCAGGATGCCTTCCATTCTCCTATTTGCAGTATTATTTACCTTGAACGGTTTCTTGGTTACGATAACTGGTTTAAAATATTTTATCAGATTGTAGGCATCACCTTTTCGACTTCATATGTCATGGTTAATAATCTAATACATATTTGTAGCCTTGAAACTGTTGTTTGTATCTTATCACTTATGGCAATCTTACATATTATCTGTGACAGAATAGAGTAGACTGTAGCTGCGGAATGGCAGGAAAGCTTTTAACAATATTAGTTGAAGGAAAAGTGCCGGCAGGGTATGTTTGGTGCTGCTAATTATGCATAAAGTTGTATACAGTTATTAGATAAGCGGTATCTGCTAAGATTTCTTTCCTTTTTAATATTTGTTCCCGTTTTCTCTCCCATGTTTCTTCATTTCTGGAGAAGGATTTGATCTTTGGGCTTGCTGTTCAATAATCATTTGTTATTGTGACTGAATATTTTGTTGGGAGACTGCTTTGTTTTAGATGATCATAGAAACTTACATTGTTATTCAAATAGATTGTCATAGAAATCAAGTGTTTGATCCAATTTCATTTACGTTGTATACTGAAATATCGTAGTGCATGTTTTCTATGTACACACTTAGACACGTCGTTCGTGTATATTTATTGTGTACATACGCATATGCACGCGCACACGCACACGCAGAGTCTGATATTGATGTGAATAGTTTTGCCTTGCATCCATCTTGAACTTGAAAGTAGGAGTTGTGTGCAGCTCGTTTACATTTAGCATGTCTGGCTAAGCTTAGTCAAACAGTAAAAACAGTATGTACTTGTTTGGTAAAAATTCTTTAAAATTCATTTTTAATCATCGTGGATTCATAAATTTTCCATATTTTTTAATCGACATTTTCGAAAAAATTATAGAAAATTTATTTTTAAAAAATCTACATCAAACATGTCCTAAAGTGTACGAGAGAGTCCAAAATGAAGTAAATTTTAAAAAACTTCATAGATGATTGTAAATTATTTACTTTTAAGCTTAGCCAAACATACTCGTCTTTTATTCATTTTATCTGTTAAACTTGCTACATTGATTGCGTAAGGCATATTTAACTTTTATGATTATGTTAGTGTTGACTATACTAGTGATTCTTTTAGCCATGATAGAGCATATATGCTTGGCACAGCATATTCCATCCCAGTCTCTTTCTGTAAATTTGTGCCTTGATTTTGCATGCTTAAATGATGTTAAGCCATAGCAAATTTTTTAGTTAATAGTGGACTCAATGTACTGAACAAAATTCATCATTTATTTCATTAAGTTGGACCGACAGTACAAAAATGATTTTCGTCGTTTATTTCACTAAAGTTGTAATTATTCCATGTTAGCAACTCTTGGTTACTTTGTGAAAATTATCATTTATTAAATGTCACGTCATCAATTTTTGTCAATTGAGTTGATGGAAATTATCTTAATTAAAATCAAATCAAAGTGTAATTACTTGATTAAAATCAAATTAAAGTGCAGTTATTTAATTGAAATCAAATTAAAGTGTTGTTACTCCATTGAACAAATTTGAAATAAAGTTACTTGATTAACACAAAGTGAAAATTTAGTTACCACAGATAGTTTATGCTCAATTTATTACCCTCTTGATGCCTAATTCAAATTTTAAGCATTCATTTAACTGTAATACAATGACACGACAGAACCAACTTGGCATGGAAACATCCAACGACTAGGGTGGACATGAGTTGGGACAGTTTATAACAAATTTTCAAACAAAATCACTTGGAACGATTTGAAATTTTTTCAAACTAAACCAATTCAAACCTTTTTTATTTTATTTTTTTGGTTTAGTTCAATTTAAAACCCCGATTTAACAAAGAAAAAAATAACATATATTGAATAAGTTAAATCATAATATTAGTCTAAAATTTCATAATAAAACATAAATTGCATTACTCAAAATATTACAAACCAAAGTTCTATGATTCTAATCATTATAATGCAACAATATTGTATAAACATTTTAACCTATTAGCCGATATTAATGGCGCAATATTTACAATCATAACACGTGATTCACTCTCTCCATAAATATAAGAATATAGTATATGAATTCATCAACTATAGTTAAATGATATGAAACAACTAATAATAGAAAATGATAGAAATATCAAATATGATTTTGTGAATCATTCAGTGATTTTACTTCATCCAAATATTGATGAATTAAATGATCGTCTCAACCATATTTGTATTCAACAAATTTCTAAAAGAATCAAGAATTCAATCATTAGTAGAAAATGTAGATTCAGAAACAATTGTTGATGTTTGAATAGCTAGCACATCTTCAGCAATTTGAGAGATAATCTTTGTATTTATCTGTATTAAATTTTCATCAAAGTAATATATCAAAATGCTCATTTGTCAAATTTCAAAACGACCATGTAAGTAATCCACCACCAAGTCATTCTATAAATTATTAGTAAAATCTAGAAATTAAGTTAAAATACAAATACTTAATTGAGTGATTTGACCATAAAATTGAGTTGCAATTAAACAAAAATGTTCTTCGCTAAAAATTTAAGGGAGTATGGCACAAATTAGAACAAAACAACACAAGTATATATTTAAAAAAAAATGTCAAACAATTACCAAAATATAAGAAAATTTGGATTAAATGATATGAAAATTCGAGAAAATTATTAGTAAAAGATGAAGAAATGTATGAGTTTGAATTAAAATCTAGATATAATTATTTACTCAATTATAATGGATGATCGATAAATATGGTTCAGTAGCAATTATTCAACACTTCACCCAATTTGAGAGTTTTGCATTCTTGATTGTTATAACGGAGGGTATTTAAGTACAAATTAATGAGATGGGCCATTATCTATTTAGGTATTGAGTTTAATTGTGTTGTGCTAATATGTATGTATCTTTCTAATTGGGACGTGCTTGATTTTAACTGGATTGGATAAAATTTATATTAATTTATTTTTAAGCTTTTCTTGTAAACGGTTTGACGGTTATAAATGTTTTGCAAAGATTAAAACCAAACTACTTTGAAGTGGCTCAAAATCAAAATGTTGACGGAACCACGTGGATCCAAACCAATTGTTTCAAAAAAGGGTTTCGATTCGATTTTACAGTTTGACGATTTCTTTGTTCAGCCATACGACAATGGAAGAAAGCATTGATTCATCTCGGTGTATCAAAATATGCAAGCTGTGCCTATTGGCTTCAACTTCCATCAGTTTGGAAGAATCACTAGTGTTTTAGTATTTCTTCCTTAAAGACTTGTTATATTCTCTAAACTATTTGTCGAAAATCACAACTTCCATCAGTTTGGAAGAATCACTAGTGTTTTAGTATTTCTTCCTTAAAGACTTGTTATATTCTCTAAACTATTTGTCGAAAATCAAAAAACAATTCGAATGGAGGCAAATATCATTTTTAGGAAAGCGTATTGTATACATCCATTGTAGCTTCAACATCTCCTTTTGCCCTTTTACTTCTATAAATTGTATTAGAAAATTTAATAACCCTTGAGATTAAACTTCAACTGCATATTTCGGACTGTATTAAACAGTATTAAACAAATAACGAAAAAAGAAGTTAAAATCTTGTTCATACAATGCAAAAACAGGGCCGTGCTAAATGCATCAAGCTGTGTGTTATCAAACAGTCCCAATTAGCCTACTCAACAACAGACTAAGTTCAGAAACAACTGATAATTTGGAGGGGGTACAGAAATATGCAGTACGAAGCAGATGCTTAATATCAAAAACTTACACCACAGGGAGACGTAAATCTCAGTAATTTTTAAAATTTATCCACTATCAAAAACTAAATATGGCCACACAAAACAGAATACAAATACCCAAAGTTTTCTCAAGATGCTAACAAGACTAATACGGTACATTATTGGGGAGGTTGCGGATAACGTTACTCTTCATACCAATCTTAGAACGCATAGCTTCGACCCCCGATTTAGTCATTGCCTTCATTACTTTCAATCTAACCACATGCTCTCTCGACTGCACAGTTGCCAGACCCATGTTCTTATACCTGAAGAAGAAAACATTTTTGTTGACTCACAGAGGAAAAGAAAAGAGGAAGGGGATCGGTGTGGGGTGGGGTCCTAGGGGCCTATTAAGATGGATGTTCAGAACTCTTGATAAACAAGAGCTCCATATATGTATGTACCTTGAGGTTAGTGCAGCGGTGATTGCAGTGTTATTTGCAGGTGTTGGACGCGGTTTCTGCCGGTAGTATCTTAAATACTCCCTTGATCCAAGCATTGTGGTTAATGTTGTGCCATCATTTCTTCTGGTTATAACAAGCTCAGAGTTGCCACTACCAAGTTCAACAGTGTTGCTCGTATCATCGACTGCAATAAGCTGCTTCCCATCTGTATCCACATAGCTATATCCCAAAAAAAAAAAAAACCCCAGGTTACTTTCACTGGCAACCATAATAATTTAGTTGTTTTCATATTAAACTTTGATCAAAGAAGCAGAAAGAATAAGAATAATCAGAAAAACCTGCTACTGTAATCATAAAATTCCTCCAATTCTGCTTCTTCATCTTCACTACCATCCCCATAATGCACTTTGCAATGACTTTTTGCCTCCATATGCTTCCGAACTGCCTCTAAGCTACTGAAAGGTTGACATCTGTTGTTACAATATAAACACATAAAATCCCTCTTGACCTGAAAAATTAAAGAGGAAAATATTAAGCTCGAAGCATTTGGTTAAAAAAAATACAGAAACAGAAAGAAATAGATGCTGTGAAAAATGAATAAAAAAGAAGATACTTTATCACAAAAACTTCAGTTTGACATAGCAACAAGGTGATTACCTTAAGGCCAATATATGTTAGAAGCCCACGAGGATCCTTCAGATACTCGACATCTGGTATGAAGAAGCCGTGCTGTCTGTGCATGTGAACCATGCAGCTCTCTAATGTATCATGTTCTAAATCACACATGAAGCAACAAGAGGGATCCAACACTTCCTTATCATCATCATTCATCGCATCCTCCTCCATATCGTCATTAGAGTTGTGCACATTTACCTTTAATTGTGTCAAAGAATCAGTGGCTTCTCCAATTAAGTCGTCCCCCGAATCCACCTCTTCCCATTCACTCTCTTCACTTTCTTCAACATCCTGCTCTACATGATGTGGAGACTCTTTTCCAACACGACGAGCAAGTGGCTTGATTATCATAGTACCCTCATTGTTGCTTGTTCCTTCTGAAGCCCGCATCAAATGACTTTTAGATTGCAGATGTTGAGCATGAGCTTTGGAACTTCTGTATCCTTTGCCGCAAAGGCCACAACTATACATCATTGGGGTTTCATCTAATTTCTTTTTCTCTTCTGCAAGAGAAGATTCTCTAGCAATAAAAAGTGATTCGGTTACTCCAGGAACACCTGCAACCTGATTCACAAGAAAGAACACAAGTTGATAAAAATGTAATATCTAGTGCATTGAAGGAAATATTCAGAATCTCAAAATTGTGATATTGAAATATTGAATTGTGCCAAACAAATCATTAACACACAAAATTCCTAAAGATATATAAAGATCCAGGAAATCTCCAATGTACATTCAAAATCAGATATAAAGCTATAAAAATAACAGATTCTATAAAGAGTTTATTAAGCATATTCGCAAAGACAGAAGATGACAATCAAGAAAAAGAAAGGAAGTATGTTGTTCAGGCAAAGCAACGGAACCGTTGACAACAAACTCTCCTCTGATGGGATGGAATGAGCTGGAGACAAAATAGTCACCAAACGAAAATTCCAACACTGAAGCCCAGTTTGAGTGAATTAACTTGTCATCTACTGATACTGTACTTCAAACGGTCCCCTACAAGCATGCTAAAATAGGAGCCAACGGTTGAAATTCAAGATAATAAGTCTTCAATTTAGAATCTTGTTCTTACTTTTATCATCTCTATAGTTGTAATTTGCGTAATATATAAAGGAGTATAACATGTAGTAGCCACTAGGATCTTTCCTCAATACACAAGCTCTATAGCAATCTATGAAGCACGCGGCATCTCAAAAGGTAACAATTACTGTGTAGCAAATGCATTGGAGATGGAATGTCTCCAGAGCTTAAACGGCAGGTGTCAAAAAATCCCCATTGAACCACAACATCCAAATATAGAATAGTAATAATTAAAAGCCTTTGTTTTGAATAGTGTTGAGACTTCAAATCAAAAGTTAATTTCCAAATCAAAAAGTTCCTTATGGATTTTCATTTATGTTGCAATGTAATTCCCTCATAATTTCCCACAAATGAAACACAAAAGACAAAAAATTAAAATCCTCGCCTTCACCGTGCCACCCAAATACAAAGAATGGACAAAAAACGAAAGAAATATTGTTATCCTATTATATAATTTCACAAAATCAAGTTCCCAAAAAGCTCAAATCTTTCAAATGAATGCACGTGTAGCAAATCAAAATTTATAAATCCATTAATTTTCCCCTGCACACTAGTATTTTTCTCTCCACACCTCATTCTTGCAGCTGCAGAATAATTATCACTTGCATACATGCCTAATTCCTGAGGTAAAACCCGATCATTCAATAATTCTTGAAAGCTAACCAAATCAAAATTATACACTGAAACATCGAGTGCCCACAAAAAAATAAAGAATAAGAAAGCATAAAAATCCCACCTTGCGTTTGAGGTTGTAGCGATGCCATTCGGATTTATAATGGGTCTTTTGGTCGGTCTCGTCCTGGAATTCTTTGTTGCAGGCGTTGCATGTCAACCCCGGCATCTTCTTTCCTTCCTTTTGATATAGGGTTTTGATTCAACAAAAAGTGTGAAATTATAGAAAAACCTGAATTGAATGGAAGAAAGGGGTTTGGTTTTGTGAAGCGGCTTAGACTCGTATATACATAGTCGGCGGCGGATGCAGACGAAGACCGAACCCCGCTATGCGTTTACGACGTTTATTGTATATTTAAAGTTTCAAACTAGTCCCTCACTTATGAAGTCTGGTGTAATATCATCCCCAACTTAAAACTCATAGCAAACTCATTATTTACTCATCTTCAACCTGTTAAAATAGGCGCTCGCATAGTCCTGATAGATGAAAGCCGTATAAAATTTTGTCAATATGTTGGAATTCTGAAACACAATACTGATGCATCGGTCCATATGACAATGAGAGCATAATCGTCGTAGCTTGTTCTAAGAATGTGTCGGGGAGATTTTACCCAATAAGACGTCAAGGAGCCCTTCGAGAAGAATTTATGCTCGTCATAAGTAACGACTCAAAAATTAGTATAGATGAGTGAAAATATATTTCAAGTTGTTTGACTAATTGCTCTTGTTGTTGACGTTATTGTAGATTTTCTTTTCGATGTTGACGGTGACGCTTGCCATTTTATTCCTAGAAATGGTTTGCTACCTTAATTTTGGTGAACTTGGGATAATTATATGCCAGGTATTGAAGTGTACTAAAAATGTTTAATGTAAACTTGCAATTAGATAGAAAATGTCATGATTTTTAGTGACATTTTATTTTCTCAAATTAATTAACAATTTCTTATATGTAGTGATTAATTGTAATATTTGAAATTATTTTCTTGTCTTAGGTTTAGGATGCAATTAAATTTTGGCTAATTATACCACAACCCAATTTATCTTTTGTCAGCAATATATTTTAGTTGCACTTAAGGTCCTCAATCTTTGATCATTATAACAATTATGTCCCGAACTTTTTTCCCATCAGATTTTATTAGCCTTCCATTAATTAGCACATCTTGTATTTACTATTATTTTATGTAAAAAAAAAATGTTTTGTGTCTTCTGAAATGAGGAAAAAAAATATTTTGTTGTACTTAATTATTGCTTTTTTTAAAAATGTGATGCTTAAAGAAATCATTTTACACTCTTCAAACGAATTTTTTGGATGAAACCGCTATCAGAAACTAGATTTGTTAATTAATAAAATGTTGAGTGATGATGCCAAAAATTGTACCTGTTGATCTCGAGCTTGACGACTGAGATCAAGCACGAAAGAGGCCTTCTGATACCTGAAACAAAGGCGTCGATGTGTGTTCTTGTCGCATCTCCGATGCTTAAGTCAGGGACAGAATTATGTGAAAAATTGTATATCAGAATATTATGTAAAACATACCTGAATAATGATGCTAGTTTATGTATTTATAGATGTTGGAGGGGGAGTCCTGGAAGGACTTAACTTCCTGTAGTCCTAGTTATTTTAGGTGTTTATTTTGTGTTTGAAATGTACAAATTGTGTTATGGTAAAATTTGTAATGATCTAGGAGTTTGTACTTAAGTAGGACTAGTATTCCTGTAGTCCTAGTTATTTTAGGTGTTTATATTGTGTTAGAAGTGCACAATTTGTGTTAGGGTCAAATTTGTAATGAACTAGGAGTTTGTACTTAAATAGGACTAATATTCCTAGGCCTGACCTTATAATGGGCCCGACCTCGAAATCAGCCTAGTTGGAGTGGGCCAAGATCGGACCTGCTAGCCCAAGTTCAGGTCAAGTAGCTCGAGCTCGGGCCTATCGATATTTTTTCGTATCACAGGTCCCCGTGCATCCGGTCGTAGCTAGAAGTTACGTGTTTGAGCTGCAAGGTGGGACGCAAAGAGGCGCAACAAGTTTAAGTCTTTGTTCGATTTGCAATTTGTATGTAACTCGAGTTCGTTACTTAGCCAATTTTTGGTCAATAAGCTCGAGTTTTGCATTAAATAAGTATTTCGAGCTTGTTACTTGGCCAATTTTTGGCCAATAAGCTCGATAATGAGTTCGAGCATGTAAACGGCCAAGTTTGTTGCAAGAGATAGCTCGAGTCGTATTACTTTTGACATATTTTTAGGCCAAGTAGCTCGAGTGATGTTTTGTCATCACTTCAAGTCGTATTACTTTGACATTTTTTTAGGCCAAGTAGCTCGAGTAATATTTTGCCATCACTTCAAGTCATGTTACTTGGTCGATTTTGGCCAATAGCTCGAGTGATGTTTTGTAATGAGCTCGAGGCATGTTACTTGACNTTACGTGGCCGTTTTAGCCAAGTTTGTTGCAAGAGATAGCTCGAGTATTGTTTAAGAGCCTGTTCGAGCGTGCTACTTGGCTGGTTTTTGTCAAGTAGCTCGAGTCATGTTTTGTAATAACTTCGAGACGTGTAACTTGGACTGTTGGCCAAGTAGCTCGAGTGATGTTTTGTAATGAGCTCGAGGCGTGTTGCTTGATTGATTTTTGCCCAGTAGCTTGAGTCTTATTTTGTAATCACTTCGAGACGTGTAACTTGGCCCGTTGGCCAGTAGCTCGAGTGATGTTATGTGATGAGCTCGAGGCATGTTACTTGGCTGATTTTTGCCAAGTCTCTCGAGTCATGTTGAAGGAGCTCGAGACGTGTTACAAGGTCATGTTTTGGCCAGGTAGCTCGAGTCCTATTATTTATGAGGCCGTCTCAAGCTCGAACATCGTTTGGGGACATTTCAGTCCAATGCCCATTTTTGGAATGGTCATGCTCGAGGTAGGTTTTTAAGATGGGTGGTCATGGCATGTTTTGAGGTGCATGCTCGTGACATATCTTTTTTGAGACCATGTCTGTAGCATGTCTCAGAGCTACCTGCATGTGACAGAGCTTTTGATAGTGCTTGCTCGTGACAGGGCCTTTGTTGGCCTGCTCGTGACAGGGCTTTTTGGGCCTGCTTGTGACAAGGCTTTTGATAGTGCCTGCTCGTGACAGGACTTTTGTTGGCCTACTCGTGACCGGGCCTTTGTTGGCCTACTCGTGACATGGCTTTTTGGGCCTGCTCGTGACGGGGCTTTAGGTGCCTGGTCGTGATAAGGCTTTTGATAGTGCTTGTTCGTGACAGGGCTTTTTTGGGCCTGTTCGTAACAGGGCTTTAGGTGCCTGCTCGTGACAGGACTTTTTGGGCCTGCTCGTGACAGGGCTTTAGGTACCTGCTTGTGACAGGGCTTAGAGGTGCTTGAGCAGGGCAAGGTTTTAAAGTACTTGCGCGTGGGCAAGGCTTGAGGTGCTTGCGCGAGGGCAGGACTTGAGGTGCTTGAGCGGGGCAATACTTAGATGTGCTTGCTCTGGGCAAGGCTTAAAGGTGCTTGCGTGGGGCAAGGCTTGAGGTGCTTGCACGGGGCAAGGTTTTGAAGTGCTTGCTCGGGGCAAGGCTTGAGGTGCTTGCACAGGGCAAGGCTTAGATGTGCTTGCTCGGGGCAAGGCTTAGAGGTATTTGCGTGGGGCAAGGCTTGAGGTGCTTGCGCGCGGGGCAAGGCTTTGAAGTGCTTGCTCGAGGCAAGGCTTGAGGTGCTTGCACGGGGCAAGGCTTAGATGTGCTTGCTCGGGGCAAGGCTTAGAGGTACTTGAGCGTGGGCAAGGCTTGAGGTGCTTGCGCAGGGCAAGGTTTTGAGTGCTTGCACGGGGCAAGGCTTATTAGCTTACGCGGGGCAATGCTTGAGGTGCTTGCGTCGGGCAAGGCTTGAGGTGCTAGCACACATAAGCTATTCCAGCCAAATATATCATGTAGAGAATTGATACAACTATGCAATTGGCAAAGTGTAATATAATTAAGGACAAATAATACATTTAGATTCCTTCCACCAGTAAGGAATACCTTAAAACCATTCTGCACTAACTATAAATTAACATTATTGGATTTTGACAAAGCCACATGTTTTGAATTGGAATTATAGTTATCACAATACACAGATTCCAATAGTTTAAGAAATTCTATGAAATCCATTTTTTAATGCCATTTAATATAGTCAAATATGCTTCATAGATAATGGCCAGGAACATGCATCTTTCGTAGACAAAATTTGTTTCTTGTTAAGGCAGTTTAAGCATGAAGGAACATAATGACAATGGTTGGTATATAAATTCATAGTTTCCACGTGCAAACTACTTTGAACAGTCAAAATTGCCCTTCTTTCCAATATGCCGAACAAAATGCCAATATCTTTTAGCGCGCACAGAATTAATTACCTTAAACATATGAAAATATAGATTTAAATATCGGCACCGTTTCAACAAATCAAAGATGCATATCTTGAAAACTTCGGCTGCTATTTGTGATTGTTCAGAATCCCATTCTATTTGTACGAGTACTAGGTTTTTTTTAAAAAAAATACTTGTGAAAAAAGAGTCAAATTAATCCAGCAACAGGAATCTATTCTCCATACCCGCCAGTATTATTCCAAGAAAAATTACATGTTGAAATATAAAAAGCATTCAAATTTCAGCTTAGATACATATATTCCATGTATGAATTCGAACCATATTTGCTGTCACCTAATTTAGTACATGAACCAATGCGAAGAAAAATCAAATTGAATTTTTAAGATGAAAAAAACGACTTACCTTTACCTGTGAATTCTGGGCGCAGAGCAGATCTATATCGCCCATTGTAGATGTGGGCTTGGACATTTTATAGAACATGTGACGTTCAATTTTTCTTTGACAAATTTACGAACCATGAACAGAGCCCAAGTAGAATAAACATAACCAAGGGAAAAGTTTATAGCTCAGGTGTTTAGTTTGTCATTTTAAAAAATCAGGTGCTAAACTTTAAAATTGTAAAAATCAGGTTTCTACTTTTTATTAATTAATTAAATATTTAATTGTGTAATTTGATAGCGTTTATCTTATTAATTAGTTAAAAATAATTTCAAGTCACATCTTATCAAATTAATTGGTCTCGGATTATTTCGAGGTCACAGATGAAAAAATTTATATGTTACAGTTAATTTCATTGGTCACAAATCAAGAATTTTAAGGTCATGGATAATTTTTCATAGGTCACAGATTAAAAAAATTCAAACTTTTACGGGTCACAGCTCTATTTCAGCGAGTCACAGTCCCAATTTCTAGGTCACGGACACCACTACACAGGTCACGGACACAATTCCTAGGTCACAGACACCCACGCCAGCCACCACAGCCAACCACCACCAAAATATCACGGCACCGCACACACTCAATCTCCATCCACCACCATTTCACCTCCACAAACAGCCACCAAATCTCGATCCACATCCACCACCTCACCTCCATAGCACAGCCACCAACACCTCCACAGAATAGCCACCAAAATATCACGGCACCGCACACACCCAATCTCGGTCCACCACCATTTCACCTCCACAGAACAGCCACCAAATCTCGATCCACTATCAAGCAGCCAGATCCACCACCTCACCTCCATAGCACAGCCACCAACACCTCCACAGAACAACCACCAAATCTCGATCCACCATCAAGCAGCCCGATCCGCCACCGCTACTAAAACCACTCAAACATCCCCACTCACCGCAACCACTGCACGCCTCAACACCTAACCACAGCACCCACCACCACCGCACGCACAACACCGTACCCACTGCACCCAACAACTGTAGGAGTCTCCAGAGCTGCCAGAGTCGCCAGAGCTTCCGGAGGTGTACTGGTACAGAGAGAGAGAATGGGGAGGCAGTGGGTTGGGGGAGAAAGTGGCGAGAGATGTAGAGAGAATGTTGGGAGGAAATTGATTAGGTTAAGAATTAGGGTTTTATACTACCTGATTNAGAGAGGATGTTGGGAGGAAATTGAATAGGTTAAGAATTAGGGTTTTGTACTACCTGATTTTTAAAAACGTCAAACTAAACCCCTGGTTTTATATAATTTTCCCTATAACCAATGCCCATTGAAGAATAGCCTTTTAAAAGTTGGAGCACTTCATGGCCCACAGAAAATAAAATTAGTTGGCCCAATTCCCATCAACTAACCTTTTTAGAATCTGGTTGAATTTGGACTCCCCTAGCACATTTCCTGTTCAACGATGGTTTTTAATAGGAGGCCATAGAAGGAACCATAGGCAAGAAGTCAGAAACTCAACTGTAGTCGGTGCCCGTGGCTACCGGAGGTGGTTTCAACGCTGACTGCCGGAGGCTGCATTGAACAACGGTTACCTTAATTTTCATTGCTAGAAATTTGAACTTTCTTGGACACTTTCTCAAACACCTTGTGTGCACATCAAAACTGTAACAGGTTTTATCTTTCTGGGCATTCATTCTTGTCAAATCCAGTGCGAAGTTTTTGTAAGGATAGAACTCAAGAAACGCCATCGAAGTGGATGGTGAAGTGAAGTTTCAATCATTCTTCAATCCTCCTTAGAGTTGAGTAATAAAATAAGCACAACTTTAAACCCATGAAATTTATATCGTGATTGTGGTCGCAGCTCCTAGTGCCTCGACGACTTTTCGTCAGAATTTGCAGAGTTCAGAGAAGCACCGATAGCCATTGCCTAAAGCTATGGAGGCTTTAACGGCAACAACAGAACACGTTTGGGCGGGATAGGACCTTCTTGCATGTCGAATTGTTCTCAACTATTTATTCTCACTCTAGGTCCAGGGAAAGGAATTGACATAAGCTAGCCACCCAATCAATTTTACTAGCCCTTTAAATTTGATGTTACGAATTTTCATTCACCACTATGATGACAAAACAATTTGATGCCTTGAGCCTTCACAATCTTACTGTTGACTGTGAGAAGGAATTTCCAAATTCTTCCAATGGCATTTTTTTTTCGCTTTCTTGGTGGCTGACTTTACTTTTGGTAAAGAAACTGCAATTTTTCGGTTGCTATCTTTTCTATTTTTCATCAGAAACTGCCTAGAAAATCATATTTTTCGGTGACTTTTTTGTTGTGGTATAACATGGTCAATGTACCGTTTCCCACAAACGACGCCAATGATGATGCCAAAAATCGTACTTGTTGATCTCGAGCTGGACGACTAATATCAAGCACGAAAGAGGACTTCTGATACCTGAAACAAAGGCGTCGAGATATGTCCTCGTCGCCCCTCCGATGCTTAAGTCAGTGACAGAATTATGTAAAAAATTGTATATCGGAATATTATGTAAAATATACCTGAATAATGAGGCTAGGTTATGTATTTATAGATGTTGGAGAGGGAGTCTTGGAATGACTTAACTTCCTGTAGTTCTAGTTATTTTAGGTGTTTGTATTGTGTTAGAAGTGCACAATTTGTGTTAGGGTAAAATTTGTAATAAACTAGGAGTTTGTACTTAAATAAGACTAATATTCCTAGGCCCGACCTTATAATGTGCCCAACTTCGAAATCAGCCCAGTTGGAGTGGGCCAAGATCGGACCTGCTAGCCCGAGTTCAGGTCAAGTAGCTCGAGCTCGGGCCTATCGATATTTTTTCGTATCATTGAGGATAAGAGCGCATCGAAAAAAATGTAATGGATATAAGGACTATAATGAATAAAATTTGAGTCATTCTAATGTAATTTGTTGACCCCAAAAAATGTTGCCAACAGATGCCGGACCCACTCGTGCACATGCAAGCTTGATCCAACACGCTAATGTCGATCGACGGTCATGATGGCTCCAAATAATAGGCGTGAGAGTGACTAGAAGGCACGAGACGTTTCTGTTCAGACCACCGGCAAGAATATGATACGATTGTATGAGAAACCAATCGACAAAGTACGATTTGTAGTAATAAAATGTTGTAAAAAATGCAGTTGAAACGAGAGAGATTGCTCCAAAATATTCAGTCTGCTCTCCAATTTTTGCATTAGCCTTTTTTTTGTGTTACATGGTGGGGGTATTTATAGTGTTACAATTCGAGTGGTGACCTTTGGATCAACTTACACGTGGCCTCATCTCCTCGGCCAAGACATCAAATCCTAGCAATCAAGTTGACTTTCCTAGCTTTGCAAAATATTAAATACTCTTACATTGACAAGACAAGACACGGATAAACTTTTCATAAGAGTCACGTCAATCATTCATAAAAGATCTCCATCATAAGCGGACCTTTGCAAGTGGGTCTTCAATGGCTACTGAGGAGCCTCGGATGATGCATGCCCACCGAAGCGTGGCTCATTGTTAGCAGCAATGGCCTCGGAACAATAGTGAGGGCCTCGGAACCCACGTCTGATGCTAGGAAAACATGTCCTGATTTAATCAAGCTGGTCCCACCGTCAAAATGTGATGCCACGTGTCGCTTACATCTACTAACCCGTAACATAATTAAAATGTGATATAACTATTAAAAATAAATATAATTATCTTAATTTTTCATCAAAATATTATATGAACTCCAATTATGTGGTTTTTAACCTACTCAAGTTTTAAATATTGGCATTTATTTAGGCTAATGTTATCGCGAAGTCCTTATCTGGCTCTAGGGATTTCAATGGATCGAATCGAGTAGGTTCAATCCGTATGAACACGGGCTCGATCTTTAAAATTTTTTAAATGCATTTACATACGTAATATGACAAAAACAAAGGGCCGTAAGAGAACAAAATATAACTTAGTGGAAATTACAAAAAATCAGAATTTTAAAATTTCAATTTCAAATTTCAGATATAAGAAAGGCGCCACCTATCGAACCTGATAACCTTGAACACCACCATGTCTATGGAGGAGCAGTGGAAGATCGCGGTGCTGAGCTTTCGAATAAGCTGATTAAAGCTACTAAAAAGAGAGATGAAGCCATTCTCGAAGCTTCGAAATTGAAGTATTCAATGGCCGAGCTCGAAAAGAAGCTGAACGGCCTAGAAATTTACTGCCATAGCTTGAAATCTGGGCTTGAAGTTTGTAGCAGCACTAGTAAGATTTCAGTAAGTTTTAGTTAAGATTTCAGTAAGTTTTTGTGATAGGAAAATGAGTGAAATTGTGGCTATGTTGGGGTGGAACATGGCTTGGTCTAGGCACTTTTGCTGGCCTTTTTTGGTGCATCAAAGTCCGTGTGGCTAGTGCACCTTTTGGCTAACTTAGTGCACCCAAATCTACCCATTTTCAGAGTGGACAAAGGGGTTAGATTTGACTCGGTTTACATGGAGGTGGTTGTATTAGTGGTGGTGGTGGTGGTGGTGCAGTGGTTGTGGATGGGTAGTGGTGGTTGTGGTAATGTTTGTATTTTTAGATGATGGTTTGTTGCCGGGAGGTGGTGGTGGTTTCGGTGACGAGGGTTCGATTGTTATGCTGTTGGTAACAGTGGTGATGTGATGGTCATAAGTGTTGGTAGTAGTCACAGATTATTTGGTCGTTTGTGACCATTAAATTCATTTATTTGTGACTGATAAATAATATATGACTAATGAAAAATATAAATTGTGACCAAAAAATAATATGTGACCTAAAAAATTGTTAATTTGTGACCGATAATTTGACAATTTATAACTGTCTACTAAGTTGTGACTTATAATATTTGTGATTTGTGACCGATAAATAAATTGTGACGTATAAATTTTTGATTTATGACTGATAAACAAAATGTGACCTATAAAATTTCAGAACTGTGACCGTAAAATAATTTGTGACATCTAAAATTTGTGATTTGTGGTAATAAATAATATGTAACTCATTAATTTGATAGATTTGTGACCGATGAATAAATTGTGACGTATAAATTTNACATAAAATTTTTGAATTGTGATCGTAAAATAATTTGTGACGTTACAATTTTTTATTTGTGACCGATGAACAAATTGTGACTTATAAATTTTTGAATGGTGACATGTAATATTTGTGATTTGTGATCAATTATATAAAATTTGTGACTAAATTATGTGGAATTGTGACTTTAATATATTTAATTAATAAAATATCTATTTAATTAATTAATTTAAAAATAAAATTTAAAAAAATTGAGATTTGAATTTTTAAACATTAAAAATCTGAAATTTGAAATGAATGAAACTTAACCTCTTAATTATGAAATTTCCCCCATAACCTAGTTTATGGATGTGTACGTACACATATATGTGTGGTTTGAAATGGTCAAAAAGTGGCAATTGGTGCCTTGGGCCGTGCAATATTTCCGCCCATATAACTTAGCCATCTACCGTTTATATGTCCATATTTGGCTACTAATAATCTTCTTTTTTTTTTTTTTTCTCAAACTCATTTAAACTATACATTTTTCAAATAAAATAATTT